CCTGTCTCTTATACACATCTAGATGTGTATAAGAGACGGGTCTAGAAGTGTACGGAATGTTGAAGGAAGGAATAGGGTTCAAGGACTACCTACATGGACCAACGGATGCAGGGACAAAGCTTAAGGTCAAATTTAGGTCCGGGGACATAGGCCTTCGAGAACGTCGACGAAGACATAGGACGGTAGACGACGAAGACGACGAGCTCAAATGTGATTGCGGCTTCGAATGCGAAGACCGTGTTCATGTAGTCGCGGAATGTCCGTGGTACAAAAAGGAGAGGGAAGTGTACGTGACTGAGCTGGGAAAAATAGATGGGACGTACAGGGAGATGTTTGAGGCATGGAGTAGAGAGGAAAGGACGGTAGCTGTACTGGGGCATAGGAAGTGGGTTGAAAGGCGGGAAGGGATATGGTGAGGATAAACAGACTGTAGGGAAGACATTTTTGAGCCACCTTTGGCAAAGTAGGAAGGAACGATTGGTCATCGGTGATCGGTCCTGGGGGAACAATGCTCCGCCCTCTCGAGGACGCGTGATCAATGGTCTAACCGCTAAGGCATGCGAAACATAAGAGTACGCCCCCCCCCCCCCTCTACTGAATCAGCGGCGTATTTCCAGAGGCGGAACGAAGGGTTGTTCGACGTAAATGTGTTTTGTCTGGTCCCTTACCGAGCACAGGGTACAGGTGCCGAGATGTGCGTTGGTATCCTTCCTCGTCACTGGTTGATTCACACTCGCGCCCAGGAGGCAAGGTTTCAAACGAGTGACCCCGAACCACCGCGTGAACCCTTGGTTGGTGAGAATGTGTTGATCTGGCGGACACCGATCCTAAAGCAGGGGGTGCGTTGGCTACGGCGTTACTTTCCTCTATCTCGTCATCCCGAAAGCACTTCCACATGTCCGCCAGAGTCACCGCTTTCTTAAGTTTGGGTTTCACGAGAAGGGATATCTCTGGGTACTGCACGGCCAGACCTTCAATGGCGGTTGAGACGATTTGTGCGTCGCACGAGTCCCCGAAACACGACAACCCGTCTACGAGTTCTTTTAGTTGGACTATCCAATCTTGCAGGGGTGTGTGGATCGGAACGGAGAATTGTGCCCACATGATCGGGATGGAATTGACCTGCTCGTGAACCGCTTTGTGAATTAGCTGACAAGCTCGGCAAACCCTTGTGGGCCGTTGAGCTTTCTATCTTGGATTGTGTCGTCGAGGTCCCGGCCGATGGACAAGATTTTGTTTACCGGCCCTTCCCCACTTTCTGCCGCTACGCAACTCACTAGAAATTGTTGAGCGAGCGACGTCCACTCTGGCGCCCACGCGGTGGCGTGGAAATCACCGCCCGCCTGTCGGCCTTGCCTGACTACATGGCGTAGCCGACCTACCAACGTAAGTAGGGCTGTCCACGTGTTGCCGGCAGGCAACGGCAGGTATGGCCGCACATACTGCTGAAACATGCGGTGCACATTGAGTGCCATGAGTTTAGATTAGAGGCCACCTTTGGGTTGTGAGGGGGTGGGGAAGGAGATCGTGAGCTTGGGGACAAAGAAAACGGCACACGGGTTGGTCTCGAAGCCCGGGAAGATCCACCAGCCTCCGAGCCTCTCGAAGACGACGCTCGGCTGTGTCGACGCTCCCTCTCGTCCTCCCCCGAACGCCGACTCTAGCGGTCACCTCCCCCCCCGAGCCCGCGCCCTGCTTTCGGCGAGAACTCGAGGCCCGCACGTGCTGGACGGCCCCTCGCTCCGCCAGCCCTGGCCGGCGCCGGGGGGGCCCCCATTCATCCCGGGCACTCCCCGAGCCGTCCGACGACCACGACGAGAAGGAAAAAGAACTCTCGCGGCAGGAGCGCTTGTGCTGTCGCCTTGGACAATGCGACGTATTCTGCCTCAGCCGACGACGTGGCAGTGACCGTCTGCTTTACACTTTTCGTGTCCACCGGGCCACGTGCGAGGGTAAGAACGACCCCAGTAGTCGATTTTCGATCGTCAAGATCGCCTGCGAAGTCAGAGTCGACGTAAGCGGTTAGTTTATCTCCGCCTTGCGCGTCCTTGCGGTAGGTGATGCCCAAAGAGGTCGTCCCCTTCAGGTAGCGCATGAGTCGTTTCAGTTTGACAAGCGCCTTCGGTCCTGGTTCAGCCATGCTCTTCGTGAGTACCAGCACCGAGTGAGAGATGTCTGGCCTCGATCCCCTGCTGATGTATAGGACCGAACCCGTAGCCGACCGGAACATGGTAGTTTGCTCCGGCGACAGAGCATTTTCTTCCTTGGTCGTAACCGGCTCCTTCTCGGCCGGCGTTGCCGTCGCGCGCACGTCAGCCATGCCGAATTTAGCAAGCACGGCCTTGGTGTAAGCTTCTTGCGTCAGTAGGATGGTGCCCGCTTCGAGGTTGCGCTGGATGGCCATTCCCAGGATAAACTTTGCTTCTCCCAGGTCCACCGTCTCAAAGCGCTCCTTCATCTGTTCGATAATGGTCGTCACGAGCTCCTCCTTGGCTCCGGTAAGTAGGATGTCGTCCACGTAGACGAGCAGGATGACCTCTCCCCCGTTCAACGTGTACAGACACGGATCGGCGGTGCTCGGGACGAACCCGATCTCCAGCAGGAACAGGTGAAACGTCCCTTTCCAGGTTTCGGAAAGAGGCGTAGGCCGTACAGCCACGCCTTAAGTCGCCAGACCAGCTTTGTTTGCTCCTGCGAGCACGTGAACCCCTTCGGAGGTATTACGTAGATAGGTTTGTCTTTCTTGGACATCCTGGAGTTGAGAAAAGCCGTCTTCATGTCGGCC